CAAGATACAGATGCGAATGAACTTGGAAATATGGTAACCAGTGAAAAAATATTAGATATTTTCGCTGTATACACAATGATATTCAGAAGTCAGGCTCACTAGATAGCAACATCATTATGCGTCATACAGACAAGCCTAACACATCATCATTTGATTACCCATCCTAAAACTAATCAACATCCAAGAGTTTACCGTAGAAGCTAAACTAGGCAAAAATGGATTAAATATATCCGCTTACCTAAGAAAGGAGTCATTTATGCTAACAAAAGCAATATTGCATGAAGAAGATAGAGCTCGGACAGACACTCCATTAAGCACACTATGGGAAAGTCTGGTAGTAAAATTCAGGCCTAAGCATACACGAATATAACCATGAATAGATGCCAGTGGGTGTATAAAAAGATATTAGAAACAAATGATAGGGATATAAAATATATCACTATAGATGCATAAATACAAATGCATAAATATGGCTAGACGACGAAGTGGCAGAACAAGAAAATAGCTGAAAGCATTGCAAATGGCATTTAGCTCTCTTTGCCGGTACATAAACGAAACGTATTCATATGCCGATCCTCGAGTACACACGTTAATAATCCTATGCGAATCACTAAACCAAAAAGAGAAAGCTAAATCACCTTTCTAAGATGGGTTCATAATGCGTGTACCAGTAAGGAAGAGGATGACTTGATAGCAAGGGCAAGCAAGTCAGCCCAAGCAACAGAAGACTGCATGTGCAAAGCAGTTGGCTCTAAATCCTACATAGGTGTGAACAAAGGCACAACGGGAAATAGATTTACGATATGAATGCATTGAGGTAGAGATAAAAACAGGAAGAGGAAGATATGAAGTCAAAAGGAAGAGTTAAATGCCATGCTGGCCAACATGAATATGCATGGAATATAAGATGGAAAAATTTGGTTGAGCCAAGAATTAAACCAGAATAAACAAAATTAAATACTGTATAGAAGTGGTTTGAGCTTGTTTTAGCAATTTGGTCGTATTGTTAGGGGACCTAGCTGAAAGTACCTTGCTCGAAGTTCTCTGTCATAATAGTAATTATAATTCCCAATGTAGGACTGTGGACTTGATGTGTTCCGGCATCGGTATTGATACCGTCGATGAGTCTTGCTAGTCTTAGCAAAAAGCTACAACGCATCAGAGACAAATCAATCACTGCCAATTTTCGGCTGAATGTTTGCATTATACCCACTTCCGTCCTGAAAAGCCTACCAACTAGCTATCCTAGCATCTCGCTCCCTCGCTATCACGACTTTTAACTTATTTATATTCAACTACTTTAGAGATGCCCTTTTTGATGAGTTTAGTTGGGCGTTATCACACTTGCTTGTTTACTTTACCTTATCTCGATTTGCCAGAATTCCTAATTCGTCTGGGACATTCTTTCCGAATTTTCTTCATGGGGCCGGAGATCCGTTTCTTAGCTTACTGAGTGAGTGATTCCACTCGGATCAAGTTAGGGTACACATTTACTTTAGGCGCTACTTCCATTGGTCTGCTACAAGCCTTTAGCAGGACGCATACTGTGGCCTAACCTAGCAGAACGCCTAGGCTCTGATCTCCAAGCTTGTCTATGTTACATACATTACGTTAATTACATAAGAAGACATATATATATATATGTATATCAAAGTACACACTTTCGAGATATTGCTAGCGAAAACAAGTAATGTTAGGAAAAATTGGTGAGAAATGAGAGATTTCTCTGAATCTAGAAGAGAAAAAAAGTATGCTAACGCTTTTTGAAGTAATAGTTGATAGGTTATCGGGAAATTACCTTGTAAAATTTGGTTAGGATAAGATTGGCATTGAAAAAAAGTCACCTGAGCAATACAGAGTAAAGATAGTTGAAAAAATGTAATGAATAAGGAGAAAACAAGGAAGATTGGTAGTGGCTGAAAAACAAGAAGCCCACAATTATTTAAATTCGCACTGTTGCAGGAAAATAAAACTCAAATAAATAATTCTCACAAATATAAACACAATAATAAAAATGACAAAAAGCTAAAATCTAAGGGAAGGGCAAGGCTGTAAGTCTATAAGGACAAATAAATAAAAATAAAGCTCTCAGATAAATGCTGTGAATGGAAAAGAAGAAGAGATCGTATTTATTAAATTCAAAAATAAGAAAAGCCAGAATGGGAAAAATAGGAGATGACATACCCTTCCAGACTTCGCCAAACTGCCCAGCGCCTAGTTGTTCAACTAGACGTATCGACGTTCTCGATACCTCCCAGCAATGTCTAGTGGCGACAGATAAATCGCTGGTGACTGGTGTTGGCCTGGGACACGATTGAGACAGCCGACAGCACAAACCATCTGGCACTCGAGAATAATGAGAGACTAGAGAGCGAAGATCGGGGAATCCACGACGGGTTGTAATGTATGCACCACCTTGATCAAACTGCTTCACACGGTAGTGCTTTACCATGTTCACAGGGCCCATGCTATTGGCGTTTCCGCTGCTTCCACCTCCGCCACCAGCACCAGCACCATGATCAAGATCACGAACTGAGAGCGTAAGCAGGCCTAGAAACAAACAATTAAAAAATTAAAGATTCAAACAAAAGTATTGAAGACATAAGAATGAGTTCACCAAAATATCCTTTAACATGGAAGGTACTTTAAGTTGGAATAGGAAAATTCACTTTTAGCACAAGATCTTATCTTTCATACTCGTTGGAATTGCACGGTTTCTTAGCAATAGAAACAAAATGGAAACAATATGTTGTGTGGCCAGCGGACGAGAAAGTTGTTGTTGTAAGAATTAATGCTTAATCTGACCGATTATAGTAAACACGGCAGTCGGACTGTAATTCACGACTGCTGGCTGAAGAGACGAAGCAACAGCATCTGTACCATGTAGTGATTTACAATTGAGATTGGGTCACATATGGGTCAGAAGGTTGGGGACGACAATTCTTTTATAGAATAAAACGATGAAAAGGTTACAAAAAATAAGGTCAATATTGAAAAGGTAAAAAATAGCGGAGTAATTTAATAGAAAACGAATTATTCTTATTGAATCATGTTGTGGAGCGGTTAGATCTGAGAATTATTAGAATAAAGTATGAACTTGGTTCAGCAAGCGATAGAGACCCAGCTATCAGAAAAGGGATATCTAGCAATATGGGTAAATCTTCAGTGTGAAAGAAGGAATATTTTGGTGTTCTTTATAATGAAAATAAGGCTATTTAAAAAGAATACTCTATATTAGGCAATGGCCACTTCGGCAGTCAGTCTGAACACATAAGCGCATCTGATAGAGGGAGCGACAGCAGTGGATTAATTATACAGCAAAATCAGCCTATAAACTCGCAGAAGGTAGGACGAGCGGAAAGAGAGGACTTGCTGAGTGTCCAAAAGGTAGCTGGTCTATGAAAAACAGGTGGGTCGTATCTGGTAAACAATATCGGACGCCCGTGGCTGTATGCATGCATGAAAGTATATGCGTGCATTTTCGCGAAAACATGTTTCCTCCTTCGGACGTTCAATTGCATATTGCCATTTGCAGGTCTGAGAGCATTCCCACATGCGAAAATGAACACTGGTTCAGGTGTCTGAAAGTAGCAGATCTGTGGGTGCCTAGAAATCAATCGATAAGTAATAATGTCACTAAGACAAATCTCTAAATAACCGAAAAATGTATATAGAAATGAGTCAGATCTGCAGCAAATATTTACAACGCAGGCTCCATGCATAAAAATGAAAAGCATACATAATAGATTTGAGGCTAAAAGGCAATTTAAGAGATTGCAAAAGAAGTATAAATATGAATATACACAGAATAGAAATATAGTTAGGTGAGTAGATAGATATGCAAAAGATGAATAAGCAGGTACATAGAGGTACATATAGGAGACCAATATTTAAACACATTTTGCCTCGAGGACATAAAGGCAAAATATTGACGTAAGAAAATGAAACTATGGACACAATAAGTACAACGAAGATATGGAGAAAAACTGGTCTTCGAAGAATCATGGTGGCATGACTTTCCATTCCTAATAGAAATTTGACTGGATGGAGTTCGTGATATGGTCCCACAGGAAAATGAAGGAGAATTGTGGCGTAGTGACGACTGTTGTATTGTGGGAAGAAGTCTTCGGCTCATCGTCCTGCGAACCCGATGAACCTGTGCAGACGAAAGTTTAGCCCAGGCTCACTGAATTCACAGAACGATGAACCTAGAACTTCTTCTCACAATACTACTCCGGTTCCCTGCGAGATCAAATCACAAATTACAATCTACCAACTTTTGCTAGGAAATGGAAAGTCATGTTACTATAAGCATAAGACCGGTAGGAGTAAAAATGATGAAATTTGCAGCTTGAAGGTTTGCTATAGACAGTAGTTAGGTTTTAAATCTATACTCAATTGGGTCCGAAGTCGAATCGTGTGCGACATGCAGCAAGACGCCTCTAGGCGGCCAAACGGCTCGAATGCTAATATGTGGCGAATTCTAGATGATATGACAAGTAACATATCTTACAATTCAATTTTTTAGCGGAAAAAGATGCCAGTGAGACTTGGACCTAAAGGTAACATGGTTGTTGAATGAACCGATTAAAACTGCAGTACATCCTAAATAAGGAAGTATTTTGCAAGACAATCCTAAGTCATATTGAGACATATTGAGACCAATTATTAGTTTCGTCAAAAGACATTCAAGTAAAAGGTGAATTATGGTGATTCTAATTCTCAAAAGAGGGCTGTTTGAATTCAACGCGAAATTAAGTTGTCCCCTCAATCCCTCATTGATAATTGAATTATAAATTAGGCAAGCAGCAAGGGAAACTTTGTTAAACTTGGGACAATGAATTTCAAAACAAAAATAACACTAGTTTAAGAGAGGAATCTAGTGCAATGCCCGATACATCAATTCATAAGAGAAATTAAAATGGTGAAAATTGAAGCTTAAGGGATTGCTATAGACAGTCGTCGGGTTTTGAAACAACCCTCAAGATGGTCCGAACACGAATCGTGTGCGACAAGCAATAGGTCGCGGATTTTCTATAATATGGCAATTTAAATTTTAGCGAAGAATCACCTTTTCTTAAAGGCGATGAAGGACCTGTGAGCCTGTGGAAATTCGTATCAAGTTAAGCAAAATCTCACCGTGAGACCTTGCTCCAATGCCAGTTGAATTTTACCATAATGATTTGAG